CCCACGCTGCCTGCTCCCATCCCCGCAGAACACGCGGGGCTCTGAACCCTCTGCTGCCATCAGAGCCAAGCCTTGGGCGGTCTGGAGGCTGCCGGCTCGCACACCCTGCGCTCCCTGCCCTGCTTCTCATCACACCAGTCCTTTGCCACGGGTTCTTTTGGGGAGCACAAGCCCAAACCCGAGGCGGCTCAGGTCTGGCTGCCCAGTCTGAGGCATCTGGGTGTGGGTTTGAAATTCAGCCTCCTCCCCACCGCCCACAGCCTCGCTGCTCTCGTCCCTATAAGGCCCCCTCAAGGCACAAAAGCCAAACTGTGCTATTTATACCCCCAGCCCTACCTACCCTCCGCATCGTGGGCCTGAGGTCCGCGTTCCAGCCGCTCCCGTGTCCACCCGGCCCTTCCCGGAGGAGCCCCATGGCCCCACCAGGCTCCGGGTGGCCACCGGCATCCTTTGTAGAGCCACGGGTGCCCCGGCTCGACAGCATGGAGCAACCCTGGCCACAGGCTGCTCCTTCCAAGAACCAGCACCCCCCATCCCAGCCAGACCTGCCTGGAACCCAGCGCCCAAATCAAGGACTTGAGGAATTCCCTCCTGGATGCACGGCCTGAGGGCTGCCTGTAGAAATCCAGCATCCAGGCCTTTGGCATCTGCTGGAATAGGTTTAATTGTCAGAAAGCGTTTGGAGGAATAATGCCGTGCTCTGGGGAGGGCTGCCACGTGGCATTGCACAGCTGAGCGTGGCACGTGGCTGGCTTCAGAGCAGCAGCTTTATGCGTGGGACATCTGTTATTTCACCACGAGCTGCAGTAACCAGCCCCACATTCTTGTCCCCGAAAACCGGGAGATTTGGGATGAGGTCACAGAATCATGGAATGGGTTGGGTTGGGTTGGAAAGGACCTTAAGATCATGCAGCTCCAACCCCTGCCACGACCAGGGACCCCTTCCACTGGAGCAGCTTGCTCCAAGCCCCTGTGTCCAACCTGGCCTTGAGCACTGCCAGGGATGGGGCAGCCACAGCTTCTCTGGGCACCCTGTGCCAGCGCCTCAGCACCCTCACGGTAAAGAACTCCTTCCTTAGATCTAACCTGAACTTGCCCTGTTTCAGTTTGAACCCATCACTCTTTGTCCTATCACTGCAGTCCGTAATGAAGAGTCCCTCCCCAGCATCCCTATAGGCCCCCTTCAGACACTGGAAGTTGCTCTGAGGTCTCCACGCAGCCTTCTCTTCTCCAGGCTGAACAGCCCCAGTGTTCTCAGCCTGGCTCCGTGCAGGAGGTGCTCCAGCCCCTGCTCATCCTCGTGGCCTCCTCTGGACCTGCTCCAGTTTGTTTTTATTAGCAGCCACTCTCAACACATTTGCTGGTGTCCTGATTTCCCCTGGGACACACACACAAAGGAAGCACTGAGGCTGCTAACGCCTGCACGCAGCCATCTGACAGCAGATTCCTCAGGAGGGCAAGTTCTGGGTATGGAAAGAGGACAAAAAGTCTGCCAAAAGCCTGTCCCCTTTGCTTTTGGTAGGCAAGTCTTCCGAAGGGAAAAATGGGATCGTTTGGAGGAGGGTGGCTTTTGCAAATGTAATTCTGCAGAACTGACCAAATTCCCCACGTTCCATCCATACAGAAACGCTTCCCTTGGCAGCAATCAAACCAGCTCCTGGCAAAATCAGGGAGCAGTGTCTGTGAGAGGGAGCAAGGGAGCAGCGCAGGCACACCCAGGGCTCTGCCCCTCAGCTGCCCCACTGCATGCGGTTTCAGTCCCTGCGTTCCCCCAGCCCAGCAGAGTCCCGGCTCCACCCGATTTCAGTTCCTCCTCATCCATCAGCAAAACACAACTTGCACCTCGCCTCCCAAGGTGCCAAAAGGTCTGCTTTGCACCCCTGAAACAGTCCATCTGTAACTGCCTCCCTGCTGAGACAATAACCCGACAACCCACTTACCTCCACCTCCCTTTAATCCTCCATAGCACAGGATCAGTGACACCCCATCCCATAGAGCATGCCAACTGTTTAACCTGCCTGTCTTGCCTGGAAACAGCCACTCCTGGCTTTAAGTAATGTTTTCTGTCTCTTCAGGTGATCTGAGCTCTTGTTCTCCCAAAAGCCCAATAAATCTTTGCATTTTTAGCCATAGCAACTGGGAGCGCAATCGCAGGGGCGAGTTAATCACAGCTTTCCAAAGGCAGCTTGCTCTGAGTTAGGAAGTAGTAAGAAGTTGCTCACCACCACAGAACAAATTCCACTGCAGCAAAATCCCCAACATAAACCTTGGTAGGTGGGTCTCGAGAAGTGAAACACTGAATTAGAAAAGGGTTATTGTGTGATTTTAGATTTGCTTTAAACCATAGGCACAGAACTCAAAGAGACTTTTCCTCATCCCCCCCCCCCCCCAGCATGGAGCCTGCTCCAGCTTTTTTCGTGTCATGGTCATTAATACTGAAGCACAGAAAGACATCAGGCCACGGGCAGCGAGGTGGGGATCACCAGCACCAAGCAGCGTTGATCAGCCCTGGGAGAGCAGCCGCACGTTCTCTTTCTGCAGGGTTTGGTTTTCTTGTTATCTGCTTTGCACAAGCCCAGGCAGTGGCACTCTCGTGACCGGGGTGCCCGGCACTGGATCCCTGACAGTGCTGGAACAGTCGGGTACATACATGAGGACACAGAGCTCTGCACACCCGCTGGGGGCTTCCCACTGCCTGCCTGTGTTAGGGATCAGGGCAGGGTGACAGCTCCAGAAGCCCAGGGAGACACAAACTCCAGCCCTCCCCCTCCGTCCCTCCCAGGACAAAACCAAGCAAGCAAACCCCCTAAACCCAAACCAAACCTTCCCACATCCCCCTCAGTGGTTAATAACTTCTTTGGAATCAGAGGTCTCCACAAAGAAGAGAGCCTCCTGCATAGGACAGGCTATTTTCCCTCACACCCAGGCACACAATTCCAGGTTCTGTACACTGAAAATGCCATGGGGATGTTTCCATGCTATTTATCTACAGAGTAAGGCAGCTATCAAACAGCCCTGTTCCACAGGAGAACTAATCCTGACAAGAGCTCTGAGACACACGCTACATTGGTACCGTTTAGCAACTTCCCCTGTTGACCAACACTACACTTCCATTGTATGCAGGGAAGAGCAGCACTGCTGAGGGGTGCAAAACCATCCCCTTCCTTCTGGGGGGCTGCCTGTGCCACCCCATTCTGTTGTGCAGCTCTGTCTCGGTGCAGCATCATGACCCAGAGCAGCCTTTGGTACTCGGGCACATTCATGTTGTTATTGCCTATTCAGTGTTCAAACACCCAAAGGCCATCCCGGAGCTTGTTGTGCAGTTGAAGCACCACAGGAAGAGATAACCCAAGGGTTTCACCTCCAAGAGAGCCCTTTGCTTGCCTGAGCAGGGTCGATCACAGCTTGGGTCCCCCCGATGGGATCCTTGTCCCGTGTGGCCAGGCCTGCCCTGTCTACCCACAGTGGGGGGGGTGCTGCCATAGGGAGCAAGAGGCTCCATTTCCCATGAAGCAAACCTGGGGAATTTCTCATTCGGGCTCTGGGGCCTCCCAGTCAAATCCCACTCAATTCCCTGCTGGGAAACTGCTCTGAATTACAAATCACTCCCTTTGACTCCCTAATAGCTCCAGGATTCACAAGATCCCTGTAGTCCCCTGTCAACTGAAGCACTCAGAGCTCATTTCCTTCAGAAGCAGGATTGCTTTTTGATATTAAAGACAAACTCGACTCACTATTCCTAAGCAACAGCAAAGCCAAAGGAGCAGCTCCCAAAGGAGCTTGCCAACTTCCTACCTCTTCCCGTAAGCCACACGGAATGCTCTGTTTAAACAATTCCCCTCACTCTTCTCACTTTGCATTGTCTGTTGCTTCTGCAGCACGTGCAGAGTTCCATCTGGGTAGATGTAGCCTCCCCCCAAAGCCTGATACAAATAACTTGTAATGAAATCTATATCTCTACCGGTTAAGTTGCTGCCCGGCTGGAATAGGCTCGAGCATTGCAGCTTTCTGGGCACGATAAAACTACAAATGCTTAAGCTCTGAATCAGAGTTATGCAGGCCCCTGGACTTGGTAGATTCCTGAGCCTATTATGCTCAGCTCTCCCTTCAAACCTTGTGATAAGAAGCATTCCCCCTTTTTTTTTTCCCCTTTTTTCTTCTCTCCCTTCCCATGATGAGCACTTGATGCTTCTTTCTTTGTCCTGGTGCTGTCTATTATTAACCCAGAGGCTTCCAACTGAATCCTTAACTATTTCATTCACTTCTCTTCCGTGGTCCAATACAAGAGTTTGCTCTGGTAAGGAAGACAAACTCCAGCCAGGACCTGACAGGAACGTTCTCCTCCCTTTCTTCTCGTTTAACACTAAATTCCAACACTTAGCCCCGGGGGAAACAAAGACCCAAAGCTCTTCCCGACACCAGTTAACTCGAACATTCAACACTTCCAGCTTGCAGGGAAAAGAACGTGGGAGTCTGTACAACACAAGGGCAGGCAGACCCGAGCCCTGGAGCTCAAGGAGCTGCTCTGCTTTCTCTGCCTGTCCCAGTCCGTGCGTTTCACCCCGATGCTGCCGTTACCGTCTGCGTGTTACCGGAGGCATGTCCCAAATGTGAAACGTTATCGCTCTCCACGCAGCAACACACGGCGTCTCTCAGTAGGGGAGACACTGGCACATGGATTTACAGGACCCCCTTCCTGAACCCAGCGCATTCTTGTTCAGTTTGAGCGAAGCAGTAAAACCGGGTGATTTTGGTACTTTTTGCTCCGGTGCAACGGGTGCTTAGGGCCGTCCTCGCTGTCTTCATTAAAACTCCTCTTAAACGTAGCAGCTCTACCAAACCTTGCCTTAGAACACCCTGACAACGTTAACTCATGAATGAGAGAGTGCTGCTGCTCGGTTTGGGCTGCCAGGCAGCGAGGGGAGAGCCACGGACAGCCCCCTCCACAAAGAGAACACCCCCCCGAGAGGACGCAAAGCACGCGTCAAACAGCCCCTTACCTGGTAGATCATGACTTTGAAGTTCCTGCGTTTCAGGAGCTCTGCTTCGTTGGCCTCCAGCTTCTTTATCTGCCCCGCTTGTTTCTCCAGGTTCTGCCGAACCGTCTTCACGTTCACGCTCACCTTACGCACCTTCTCCAGCATCTTGTTCACGGTGTTGCTGGTGGTGGTGTGAGCCTTTGTCAGCTTGGTCAGCTCTCCCTGGATGCTGGTCACGGCGCTATCCATGTCTTGCTGTCTCTCCTCCAGCTGCGTTTGGGTCAGCTGGATCTGATCCACCGCTCCAATGATCTTGTCCAGAAGGGTCAGCACCATCACGCCATTGATCTGGTCCGGTTTGATGGGTTCTTCGGGCACGGGCTCCTCGGAGGCCTCAGAAACGGTCGGTGCTTCGATGATCTGCAGAGTCGTCTCCTCCATGACGGCTCGGGAGTCGCGGCGAGCAGAGCCCGGGAAGCTGTCACTGCAGGGACAGAGAGGAGGGGAAGCTAAACCCGAGCCTCAGCTAAACCCTGCGCTGGGAGCCGCGCCAGGAACGGGGAGCGCAGCGTGGGGATGCCTGCGCTGCGCTGCAAATGGCACAGCCCCGCAGAGCCCTCCAGCCAAAGGGCCCTGCTAAAGCCTCCAGGCTTGCAGGTCATTGGCTGACTCCACCTCAGCAAAGGACCCGCTGCCAAATGCCTCTGACCCACCCTTTCTGAAATGACTAAAATAGTTGGAGGGGAGGCGATGGCTCCGCATGCAAACACGGGCGCAGCTCAGCCAGGAATGCAAGGCTCTGACACGACAACCACCTCCTCTGCACCACGAGCCCAAAGGAACGAGAGGAGAAACGACAAGCCTCGAGTAAATAAATGCTCAGGAAGCTGCTGGAAAGAAGCTGTCCCCCATCCGGGCACAGCTGCGTGCAGTAAAGGAAGGCTGCTTCACACAACTGCACACGCTCAAGTTCAGCTGGAAAAACTCACGTCTTCTGCCAGTACTCAGGGGCTGGGTTTGTTTTCCAGGACTCCAAGAGCCTGAGGTCAATAGTTTCAAGAAATGCTTCCATGTGGGTTGGGGAGTGACAGCACATTAACTCCATGCACATGCAGGCTCCCACGTGTGTAAACGGCCACACCGTACAAACCTCTCCCCGCAGGTTTAGCACAGAGAGGAGGAGAATTCGCTCCTGCAGGGAAGCCCCCCGGGCATCACCACCTCAGCGCAGCTCCCTCGGCTCTGCCGTCCTTCATCCGCTGACAAACCGAGGCCAGGCTTTGGGAAGCAGGACACGCTTCTGCACCAGCCCTGCTGCGGTGCAATGCCCAAACACACTGTGTTAACTGAGGCTTTATTGGCAAAACAAAAACCCTGTTTCGGAACCCGCTCGCGTATGTATCGCTTTGGAAACCACGGGGGAGAGGTAATCCTTCTTTTGCTAACTTTAACCTCAGCATTGGCACCAAGCAATTCAGAGCCTTGTGTAGCGTTGGCAGCTGACACCTCGCGGAGCCATCGCTTAGAACACAGTGGGGAGGTGGCACCGGGGGCTGCCGACGGCACCGCCCCAAGACCACGGCAGGAACGTGAAGGAGAATTCAGCTCCGGAGAGCGGCAATGGGCAGACTGGGAAGGCAGCACCTTCCCTCTCCTCCCGCAGCCCTGCAGCCGGGGATCCGCACTCAGCACATCCTGCCTCCGCAGGGGTCAAGCCTGCAAGCGCCCTGCAGCATTCCCGGCCTCACCGCCTGCCTGGGACAGCGGAGCAACCCCGCATCCCGGGCTGGGAAACCCACGGGACACAGTGTACAGGGGCATTGTTCCCTGCTGAATGCTCCCCACAGTCAGCACTTTCCCTGTCCCTGCGCTCTCCCCGCCATGTGACAGCTTTTCTCTGCTGCAGCTCCGCTCTCGCTCTCTCTGTGCATCAGTCGCTCCTGCTGCGGGACTTCCACAATAGCCATTATGTCATGGATTAAAAACAGCTTGTTTTGCTACGCCCTGTTTTTTCCTGGAGGGACCCTTTTCTTTTCCTGAGCATTTCTTTCCAGTGTTTGCTGCCGATGAGTCAGTGCCATGAAAAAAAACCCTGGTTCCAGTAAGGCAGCGCCGAGGCTCTGCAGTTCTCACTGGGAATATCTGCCTCGGGGTGGATTGCCACAGGGATCTGCTGGTGATTTCTGTGTACAGGGCAGGAGGCAGAGCAGCGCGCTCTGTATCTGCCATCTATTCCATGTGGCACTTCAGTGCAGGCTCTGCTGCCCCATTTGGGAATCAGCCTGCACTTTGGACAGAATGAGTCCAACAGCAGCAGGAGAGGTGCCATGCTGCCGTGTTGCTGTGTGCAGCCCTCACCCCCTGAGCTGAACCACTGTGAGTAATGTTCCATGTTAGGACATTTTGTTTTCACACCAGGAAAAGCCAAGAGGTGGCAACCAGCAGCCTCCCCCTTGGGAGCACCAGGACACTGGACCTGGACTCAAGCCCTTCCAGCACAGCCAATGTCTTGCTGCTTGGTGGATCTGCTTTCATCCCTGGCTCTTCCATGCTGGTGCCATGGCCTAGATCCCATGGCAGCACCAGGGATGAGCTCAGAGCATCACACACACATGGGATCCCAGCATGGTCTGGGTTGGAACGGACCTTAAAGCTCCTCCAGCTCCAACCCCTGTCATGACCAGGGACCCCTTCCACTAGAGCAGCTTGCTCCAAGCCCCTGTGTCCAACCTGGCCTTGAACACTGCCAGGGATGGGGCAGCCACAGCTTCTCTGGGCACCCTGTGCCAGCGCCTCAGCACCTCATCGCCATTAATCACAAGCATTTAACCCCCAAGAGCTGCTCCTGCTCTTGTGCCCATGTCTGTGCCCATGGCCGTGTCCGTACCCATGTCCATGTCTGTGCCCATGTCTCTGCCCATGTCTGTGCCCATGCCCATGTCCGTGCCCATGTCCGTGCCCATGTCCGTGGCCATGTCCGTGCCCATTCCCGTGTCCGTGCCCATGTCCATGCCCATGTCCGTGTCCGTGCCCATGTCCGTGTCCGTGCCCGTGTCCGTGCCCATGTCCGTGGCCATGTCCGTGGCCATGTCCGTGCCCATTCCCGTGTCCGTGCCCATGTCCATGCCCATGTCCGTGTCCGTGCCCATGTCCGTGTCCGTGCCCGTGTCCGTGCCCATGTCCGTGCCCGTGCCCCTGTCCATGTCCGTGCCCATGTCCGTGTCCGTGCCCATGCCCATGTCCGTGTCCGTGCCCATGTCCGTGCCCGTGCCCCTGTCCATGTCCGTGTCCGTGCCCATGTCCGTGTCCGTGCCCATGCCCATGTCCGTGTCCGTGCCCATGTCCGTGCCCGTGCCCCTGTCCATGTCCGTGCCCATGTCCGTGTCCGTGCCCATGCCCGTGTCTGTGCCCATGTTCGTGCCCATGTCTGTGTCCGTGCCCCGTAGCGGAGGCGAGGCCACGCCCTCACGCCTGCGTCACGGCGTCACCGCTGGCGTCAGGTGACGCAACCAACCCCGCAGAGCTGCGGCCGCTGCGTCTCCTCCCGCCCTGTGACATCACTTCCGCTGCGGGTCTCCAGCCGAGCAGCGCCGTCGCTAGGAGACGGGGCCCGCGTGACCCCGCCCCGCGTGCGCGGTGACGTCAGCGACGTCAGCGACGTCAGCGACGGCAGCCGCTGCGGGTCAGGCGGCGGCGGCGGCGGGTGCGGAGCGGGGCGCTGTGGCAGGTAACGCGGGCACCGGCGTGGGCCTGGCCGCTCCCCCGAGGGGCACCGCGGCGGCTGCGGTGTGCGCTCGGCTCCGGTTGTCACGGCGTTTGTCCTCAGAGGCCGCGGCGGGGCCGGCGCCGCCATGGGGGAGCTGTTCCGCAGCGAGGAGATGACCCTGGCCCAGCTTTTCCTGCAGTCCGAGGCCGCCTACTGCTGTGTCAGCGAGCTGGGCGAGCTGGGCAAGGTCCAGTTCCGCGATGTGAGTACTCGCCGGTACCGAGCCCCCGGGCCCGGTGGTACCCGCCCCGTGCCTGCCGGGCCCCGCGGCTGAGCGCTGCGACCGCGTTTGTCTCTCTGTGTCTGCAGCTGAACCCGGACGTGAACGTGTTCCAGCGCAAGTTCGTCAATGAAGTCCGGAGGTGTGAGGAGATGGACCGAAAGCTCCGTACGTGGCTTCCGTAGGGCTCCGCTCTGGCCTTCGCCAGCAGAAGCAAGCGCTGAGGTTAACCCTGCAAGGCAGTGTCAGGCACCCGAGGGGCGGAGGCTGCCGGCTCCCTCTGCACCAGCCGGTCAAACCACCTCCGGGGCTTGCTTCCGATGCGAAAGGCTTTCATAGCATCATAGATGTGTGTTGGAAGGGACCTTAAAGCGCCTCCAGCTCCAACCCCTGCCACGGGCAGGGACCCCTTCCACTGGAGCAGCTTGCTCCAAGCCCCTGTGTCCTTGAACACTGCCAGGGATGGGGCAGCCACAGCTTCTCTGGGCACCCTGTTCCTTAACCAATCTTGGAATAGGAGGTGAAAGAATTCCCAGCCACTGCTGGGGCTGAGTGGTGGTTACAGTGGCAGGGTGACATTGAAGTATGTTTTTAGTGAATACTAACAATGCTGTCTCTCCAGGGTTTGTTGAGAAGGAGATTAAAAAAGCAAATATTCCTATCATGGACACTGGTGAAAACCCAGAGGTGCCATTTCCACGTGACATGATCGACTTGGAGGTGAGGATGTGTGTGAAGACTCTAATATTTGGCTCTAGATGAAGACAGGGGAACCATTCCCATTGGTAAACCCCAATGAATTTAGTGGCAAAGGTGCATTAAGCATTGTCCTCAGCTGCCACCTGCAGTGCTTGCTCTGCCAGCTCACACCAGCCTGAGAGCTTTGGTCACAGGCATTGTTTCCTTGTGCATTTGCCCAAATACAATGAGAAGCGAAAGGACTTGAAAGGCATTTCACCCACTTCAATGAACGCACAACTGTGGGGATTGCAGGGTTTACAGTGGGGCATTCTAAGGTTTATAAGGGGTTTTAATGATGTGAAGAACACTGTTAATCCAGCCTATAAAAGTCTGCATTAACAATCTATAAAAGCCTGCAGAGAATGTCCCAGACCCAGAGCTGTGTCTCATGGTGGGCTGGAGCCATGCTGCAATCACATGGGGATGTGAAGCATCCTGTCTGCTTCCTTCTTGTACCAGACCTAACAGCACTTGCGTGTGGAATCGCTTTGACCCCATTTTCCTTCTCCTTTTCACGTCTTGCAGGCAAACTTTGAGAAAATTGAAAATGAGCTTAAAGAAATCAACACGAACCAGGAAGCGCTGAAGAGAAACTTCTTGGAGCTGACAGAGTTAAAGTTCATCCTGCGTAAAACTCAGCAGTTCTTTGATGAGGTCAGAATATGGGGGCTGACAGCCGGGGAGCTGGCTCTTCCTCCACAAGCCACCAGTTTTAGTCTCAGATATCCTTTAGCTGCTGGTTTGGACAGCAGTCATTCCTGTGCTTCAGGATAGCTGCTCAAATGGTTTTCCATGCTCCATGCAGTACACGCAGCTACCCATGATGTTATGCTGTTGCTTTGGGGTTGTTTTAGTTAAGCAGTGGTTTATCTCAGTATTGTGTAAAGTCATGAAGGAGCTGGTGGTCTTTAAAGCACATCAGCAGAGCAAAGCCTTGGTGCTACAGTCGAGCCCTTTCTGCAGTGGGTAAGTTCTTTGGTACGTGGGCAGATGAACAATCCTGCCTCACTCACACAGGGGAACTGCAGTCCAGCTTCATTTCTCTTCAGCTTTCGGAATGTTATATGGGGATTCCATATAAATCAATAAT